GAAAGAAAGAAAGAAAGAAAGAAAGAAAGAAAGAAAGAAAGAAGAAAAGGAAGGGAGAAAAAGAAAGAAGGAGAGAGAGAGAGAGAGAGAGAAGGAAGGAAGGAAGAAGAGGGAGAGAGAGAGAGAGAGAGAGAGAGAGAGAGAGAGACTCTGTAGCAGACTGAAGGGTATATTTACCTCCAATTTCTATAATTAGAGAGCCTGGATTTCAGCAACGTGTCATAGCTGTTTATATGAGCCTCACATCTAAGTGAAGGCAGATGTGGAGAAGGCAACATTCACAGCATACGTGCTGAGAGGTCAGGGCCACAAAGCTAAATGGGCAGCAGTGGTGGACAACCTGTTTCTGTACAGCTGGCCATTAACCTTCAGAGGTCACCTTCCTCATGGTGGCCTAACCTCCTCCAAGCTCCAGCGCGTGTCCAAAGGAGCTTCCCCACGGAAACCCACTGTAGAGCCCAACCTTCTTCAGATCTTTCATGTTTGAAGATCTCAAACTGTGAGAGTTTCCAGACAGGGTGGATAGATCCTTTTTAATTGACAGTATTGCTGTTTTTGGTTGAACGAACGCAGGTTCCCCGAGCCGAAGGCAATGACAAAGGCAAAGGAAATTACTGGAGTTTTGCCACCGGGTGTGAATCCATGCTGGATTTGTTTGAAAATGGGAATTACAGGAGGCGAAGGAGGCGGAGTGTGAAAAGGGATCAAAGGATGGCTGGAGAAAAAGCTGCCTTGCCTACTTTGTCTTCCGCCGATTCCGTCTTTCCCGAAATCTCCTGCCCTGGGGAGAGTTTGGAATCCCAACCGCTCCAATCTTCAGAGCCCGGTGAGTTTTTTCCAAGAGCTGCCGCCAGCCGACAGAGCCCAAACATCGGAAAATCTGACTCCGAAATTAAATTTAGCATTGATTACATTCTTTCATCTCCAGACCCACTGCCAGTCCTGCGATCCCCATACCATGTGCAAGATAATAAATACCACCTCTTGGATGTTCAACAGGTTCAGTTTTGGACATTGTGAAGCAGCCGGGACAGAAAAAAATATATCACAAAATGACTTGCAATAAGGCGAATTCCAGTTTTGTGGGGACCTGCACCTTCCACCCCGGGGTTTAAACCATCTATTGGGGTTGGGGCTTGTTGGAGAAGACAGTAGTACTCTGGATGGTCTTGCTTCATGACTTCTGGTGACACGGGGGCATCCAACTGCCTAACACTGCTTGAATTCTGGGAAAGAATGAAATTCTTTAAGGTGGATGGAACAGTAATGGTATACCCTACACAGACAATGGGGTCCAAAATGTTATCAAGGAGACTGGATGCTGTCCTAATATTGACTTGGAACATTAGAATATAAGCCTTCCTTCCTTCCTTCCTTCCTTCCTTCCTTCCTTCCTTGAAAACATCTAGCTAGATGCCTTCCTTCCATCCACCCATCCTTCCTCTTCCCTCCCTTCCTCTTCTTTTCTTATTTCCTTCCTTCCTTCCTTGAATGGATCTAGCTAGATGCCTCCCTTCCTTCTTCCTTGAATACATATAGCAAGATCCTTCCTTCTTTCTTCCTTGAATACATATAGCTAAATACCTTCCTTCCATCCATTCTTCCTTCCTCCTCCCCTTTCCTCTTCTTTCCTTATTTTATTTCCTTCCTTCCTTCTTGAATAAAGCTAGATGCCTTCCTTCCTTCCCTTTTTTCCATCCATTCTTCCCTCCTTCTCTTTTTTCCTTCCTTTCTTCTTTCCTTTCTTTCTTCCTCTTCCCTCCCTTCCCCTTCTTTTATTTCCTTCCTTTCCTTCAATCTCTCTTTTTCATCCCCTTCTCCCTTCCTCCCTCCCTCCCTCCCTCCATCCTCTTTTCCATCCCCTTCTCCTTCCTTCCTTCATGTGTTTTTCTTCATGCCTGAAATGGCCTGCTATGTTTTCTAAAGAATTTGCTTCTTCAACCATTGCTCTCAATTAGACATGCCCCCCAAAACAAATACCAATGTTTATAATACCCCTTGTCTGCCATCTTGACTTTTTAGACCCTTCTTCCATGGAAATTCCAGGATGTGTGGCATTTCCTGTGGGACCCACAAGGTTGTTGTGCTCCCAATTTGACAAGAGTCTCATTTTAATGGCATCCCTTCCTCAAACTCCAGAATGATCAGCCAATATAACAATCTGACTCGAAAAAAAACCCCATTAGGTTGAATCAGGGACAAAAGGTTAAATTGTTAACTGATTAAAGTTTGAGGTTTCAGAAGGTTGATGTCCCTTTTCCCAGTGTGCTTAAGTCAACCCGAATGTTTCGTATTGGTGTGTACGTGTGCACTTTTTCTTCAAATATGCATTTTTTGTACATTTTTGCAACTTCTCCCTCATTGCAGAATAAGCAGTATCTTCAATGCAATGAGGGTTTTGTAGGCATTTTACCCCAGTTTTTAAAAAAATGCTTTCCCTTTTTGCTTCTTTGATATTTTTTAAAAACCTAATGTAAGTATTAATTTTAGGAGAGTATGTCTGTGGGCCCAGTTCTATAAATGAGTTTGGGACAGGCAGATTGCTCTCCCCACCTCTAATTTATTGGTAATCCCATCCCATTGACTTATGGATTGTGAATCAATAAAGCTATATATTAAAATTATACACTTTAAAATTTATTGAAATGCATGGAGAGAGTTTGCAAGGGCATCCCAGCTCAGAAGATAACGTGGGAGTTGTACCATAATTTTCTGCTTCCTTGGAAGATCAGTTTACCAGCTAAAAACTAAAATGGGAAAACTCCATTTCCTCTGTTTATGAAAAATGGAAAAATATTGCTTTATAGCAGGATTCAGCAACCGGATTGTATCTGTTCCCAAATGACAGCAGGTTCAATCATGAGTAGGCATTTTTGAAGGGGAATCTTTTCCCCTTCTCTCCATTCAGGTGGTCCTTGACTTATAAGAGTTAATTGAGTGACCATTCAAAGTTTCAACGGCACTTACGACCATGGGCAGAATCCCCGTGATGATCAAAATTCAGATGCTTGGACACTGTCTTCTATTTATGATGGTTGCAGTGTCACTTGATCCCCTTTTGCGATGTTCTGACAAGCTTAGTCAACGGGGAAGCCAGATTCACTCAACAACAGTGTTTTGTAGTTTAACAGTTGCAGTGATTCACTCAACAATGGTGGCAAGAAAGGTCCTAAATTGAGGCAAAATTCAACAAACATCTCACTTAGAAGCAGAAATGTCAGGTTCCATGGTGGCTTAAGTCAAGGACTAGCTGTAGGATATGCCAAAGAGAATCAAAGCAAGACCTTCTTGATTTTCTTTGGCACCCTCTCCAATTTTCCTGGGGTAAATTCTTGTTTTACTAAACGGCCACACACCTCCAACTTTATCGTTGTGCTGTTCTACACCACACACACAATACTTCGGTTATTTGTTCTGACCAAGGCTTCCTGAGATTGTAATTAAACACACTCTTAGTCCAAACAACTCTTGTTTTATTTCAGCGCTGGGAATTATATGTGCATTCCCAGCCCGTAATGAGTCTCAAACAATCCCTTGAGATAAGCACCCACCTTTCTCTCCTTTGAATTGCTGCCAACAACTAGAGTGCCAAATGAACTGTAAAACAACCAACTGAAGTACAAACTCCACACAGAGCTTCAAGGATTAATCTGAACAGAGCAAACAACATTGCTTCCTACAAAGGTTTCTCTACCTTTGCCTGTCCTTTATACCTTAGGGGAGGGGCAATCGCCTCCCAGCCTTACTCCTTTTGTCTCCGCGGCTCTTGCCTTCTAGCAGCTCTGTGCACACGCACACTGGAACAGGCTCCCTTTGTTCCTCTGCCTCACTGCTGCCAGACTCTGGAGGCTCCGGAGTCAGCACTCCACTCCTAGTTGGTCCTGGCCCCATCTCTGCATCGGACGCAGGACCCTCGTCCGAGTCCTCCCCAGACTCCCTGACTGGTCCCCGTTCTTCCCCACTGTCCAATTCCGCTGCCATCTGTACAAGCTGCTGGCAAACCACAACATTATTTGCTTGTGGTTATTATTCCCAGCTCACTCGTGTCATAATTACCTGATGCACAATTATTACACAAATGCAGAAACATCGGAAGGAAAACGAGGATTAAAATTATCTCCAGACTCTGGAGTTTTGATTCTCTTTGACCCTTCCAAATTACTGTCTCCTTTTTTGCACGTAATTTTCTTTGGCTCCCTTACCTTGGTAAGATCAGTCCCTGGTTATTTTATTTTGTTCATTTATTTGGGTTGGGGAGTAAACAACACCAAAGGAAAAGGTTAACATTCAGTGGAGACATCCATCTCCATTCCGAAGAAATGAATCTAATCTACGTTGAGGTATTGCTATTGTTTGACCCGATTTATGTCCAAAAGGAGAGGAAAAAGTTCTTACATCCCTGACACTCTTCTCAAAGGCATTCTGGGACCAATGGATGCTGCTGTGTTTGCTTTTCAAAGGAGATCAATCATCTTTCCAAACCAGGAAGGGGAGAAGAAAGAAGAAAGAAAGAAAAAAAACCCAAACCAGGGACATTTTTTAATTTACCTGGTGTGTTGCACGCTGACGATTTCCAAAACGAATTCAGGCCCTTGAAACGAATGGCATTTAATATGAAAGGTGTATGGGCAAAACGTGACCTTATTGAAATGCCGGCACCATTACGGAGCTGTTCCTGGTCTAATTATAATTAAATACTTTATGCTTTCCTTGCAAATCCTTTTTTGATCAATCACTGATATGAACATTAATATCACACTGCCCCTGAGCGCCGGGCTCCCTCAGAAGGGTTTACGGATCAGCGGGTTTCCATTAAGGAGGATGCGAGGCACCGTGGGGGAGCACGTCGTGGACAAGCCGTTAGTAAGTGGCCTTGACGTCAGAATAAAGATGAAGGAGGAGAGAAGAAACTTCCAGATTATTATTTTTTTCAGGACTCAGGAGTTATCCTTCCATTCCTAGTTGCTATGCTTCAGCCCTTAGCACATAAAATCTCTCCCTCCCTCCCTCTCTCTCTCCCCTTCCCTCATTCTCCCTCCCTCTCCTTCCCTCTGTCTCCCTCCCTCCCTCTCTCCCCCTCCCTCATTCTCCCTCCCTCTCCTTCCCTCTGTCTCCCTCCCTCCCTCTCTCCCCCTCCCTCATTCTCCCTCCCTCTCCTTCCCTCTGTCTCCCTCCCTCCCTCTCTCCCCCTCCCTCATTCTCCCTCCCTCTCC